GCATTCCCTTAAGCATCTTCAAAATAAATCACGAAGAGAATAATCAGAAACCTGAATAGCTAGATCTCTTCTAAGCAGTTTTTCCCATAGCCTGAAGGTGTAGCACACCAGGAGATTAACATATGAAGCTGAATGGCCCACTTCATGAATATTTAAGACATCCCAAACAAGGATTTGAATTTACATCCTAACCATATTAAACCCCTCTACAAAAAGATGTAAATGATATTGAATCGAGTTCGGTTATTTAAAAGCCTTGTACAGGTTCTTAAATCCTAATAGAGGCCTATAATTTAAGTAGTTATCATACACCACAAGCTACATATAAGCTGAATATAACTCATTTTAAAACCCCACTAAACATTAAAAACTCGTGCATATCTATCTATCAGACCAAGACGTTGCACGAGGCCAACTTAGACCTCACTTGCTTGCTACGTATCAGAAACCGGGACCGAATTCCAGTCAAAGTCGCAATGTTTGGGGCCTCTGGCTGGGAGTCGGAAACTCGAAGGCCGGAAGTAACAGGTAGCTCGACTAATCGGGTCCACCGACGCGCTGCTTCGCCGACTGAGCGAAGACGAGCCAGTAAGCGACGACGATAACGGTACTGTTCGCGCCGACACTGTAAGTAAATAGTGAGGCAAGTTTCGAGTATAATTACACAGAATATAATATAAAACAGTTCAAAATCAAGCTCAAGTTTGTGTAAAGGAACAGCTGTATGTACACATACACATTCACTTCGCGTATCAAGCCTATGGTAGCCAATCAAATTATAGAATGCACCATTAATGTTACAAAGTAAAGTTGTGGTAGCTAAGTCGGACTGCAGCTAGCCACCTTTATCAGCAAAGCGCATATTTATCATAATCCCAGCACCGGTCGCTGAAGACTTTTTTGCATCAATCAATAACCACAACTAAGAGATAACCCCCTTCGGTTTCCGTTCGGACCCATTTACTTTGCAATTCGTCCTTCCATCTAACCTTTCCTTCAAAATCAAAAGTCCAGTAACGAGAAAATAAAAAGCCGAACAATTGGAATAGGCTTAGCATGATGCGGACCCGGCAGCAACAGCCGTAAAGCCATGCTCCCTAACAGGCTTATTTACGGGATTTAGATGTGATAAATTTGTAACATAATGAGGAACACAAACGGGTGAAACCTAAAATGAATATTATATTATAGTACATTAAAAGAAAAATGTAATAAGGAAATTACCATGCTTGCATTTAAAGTATGATTGTTTATTAGGCAAAAGTGTAGGAAAATAAAAAATGGCAAGTTATTGGTATGAGCTAGTACATTAAAACCTCTAGTCTTGAATAAGCGAGATCTAGTAGCAATAAATGTGGCAGCAGAAAAGCATACAATATTAATAGGATAGAGCGACTGAGAATCAATAGCCTCCATAGTTCAATCATCTTAGCTGTAAAAAGTTAATAGTCAATAATATGCTAAAAATAAATAAGAATATATTATCAGTCATGTTATTATTCATTTGTATTTATGCTAGACGTCACAAGCATTGACATTTTAATT